CCGAGTGCGTAGGTTCGCATTTTTTCTCATTCGCACAATAATATATCCGTGTAATTCGTTTTAGTAGGTGCAACGATTGTATACTGTACATCGGTGGTTCTTAACGTGGACGGTACCAACTCCTAGGGAGCATTTCAGTCCCCCGGGGGGACACTAGGTTTCGAGCGGGTGTTGGGAGCTTTTGAATGCGGAATGACGATAGAAATGGTGAAATTGGTGAGAATGGCGAAAAATAAACAATTCAAAAGCGCCAGCGTACTGCGACACGTTATCACACGTCAAATTGTGTTACCTAAACCCAGGGCGCCGGATTTAGGGTTGACCAAGATTCCTATAATACTCGGCGTATAGACCGATAAGCACAAAAAAAAGTTCACCAAAAAAGGACCAGTAAGGCAATAACAAGCTTAAAGTTTTACGTGAGGGGTCGTTAGCAGTCAGTTATCTCGGTGAAGGGGCGCTGAAACGAAATGACTTTAAATGTAATATTAAGATTTTTACTATTTATTTGACACTTATTCAGCTTATGTTTGTTCCTTGTAAAAGTTATTTGAAAGCATTTATCCGCATTCAGATTAAGACCATTACTTAAACACGATATTATATATATATATATAATTGATTAGGATTATATTGTAATTTTTTGCAGTCTACTGTAGTTAAAATTGGCATATACAGTTTTAAATTATCAGCAAATATTGCAAAATTTGCAAAAATGGAACGCGTGATCTATATCAATCATAAAATATTATAAACAATAAAGGTGTTAAATGACCACTTTATGGCACGCCAGAGGATCAATTTGTCATTAATGAACGATTGACAAATAAGATTTAGACCATGTCAAAATTGGGTCTTGTACTCTAATATTACCAAGTGTATTAATTAAAATATTAATTTTTACAGTACTAAATGCAAGGGCGCCCGCAAAAATATAAACCGGGTAAAGGGGCCAAAGTCAAAATAAATAAGACTATTTTTTACAAATTACAACTTGCAAGTAATCACGGCTTAAATATTTAAGATATGCAAGTAATAAAACAATTAATATTTAATATTAACTAAAATAGCCGGGGGGGAGGGGCATGACCCTCACCGGCTCCCCCTGCGGGCGCCCTTGGTTAACCCATTAACGGTTTCTGGTAGCTATGTTTACCACCAAGTTTTTTATTTTTCTACTTAACAGTTATTGGTATATTATTTTACCACTTGATACAACGGGTATTTTAATGTTGTACGAGTGGTTATCCTGTACGCGGAGCGTCGTAATCATTGTTGTGTTATCGGTAAACACGAAAACATATCGAAGTGGTAAATTATTATACCACTGCGCTTTAGATGCGTGAAATATTTCTTAAAAAGTGATATCTGTGATCAAAAATCTAAATTGTTCCCGTGTTATGGATTCGGAGTCTATAAATAGTTAGCAACTTTTTAGTTAATATCATAAGCAACTTGATTTTTGCACAATCACAACGCTCTCTTTTATAAAACTTTTAATATGCCTACAAAACGATTTTTTTTTTTTGTAAACTTTGATAGTTTTTAAATCAATTTTAGTTAAACCATATACACATACTTGTATGTACAAGTAATGTATCAAATTTGTTTTAAATGTTCCAATTATTGGTTTGCCAAGGAAAATATTTTGACTTGAGTAAAAAATTTCTTATCAATTTTAGTAATTTACAATGTCATGTACATCATTTTTTCTTTTCTACCTTAAGTTCCTAATTTTTTCGTTATATTTGATTATTATATAGATATAAAAATTAAAAAATAAGAAATCATTTCATTTCTTGAATCAATCACTGATGATCAAGCTGAAGATTCCAAACATGTTCAGATTGTAGGAAAATATCGTAGGTGTGATTTTTGTAGTACAAAAAAAAAAAAATCAAAAAAGATCTAACTCAATTTGCAAAGAATGTGATAAAGCTTTATGCAAAAATTGTTTTGGGCCTTTTCATGATCAAAAATAAATTAATACTTTATGAGAAAAATTAAATAAGTCTTATTAATTATGTTATTCAATCCTACTTGTTATTATAAATATTTTAATTCATTTTTAATTGTATATAAAATCTAGTATGTAAACAACTGTTTTTTATTTCAAAGTATAATTATTATGTTAGTTATTACTAATACACAAAAGACTGAAAAGTATTGAGTCTGAAATTATAATAAGTTATTCATACCTATTTGTTATTCTTATTATAAATATTTTAATCCATGTTTAAAGTTATATAAAATGTAATATGTAAACACTGTTTTTATTTTTTTAAGTACAGAACCATTTAATAACTGTTTTTATTCCTTTTTATGTTTATTGCTAATAAAAACATGGTTATTTGCATATTTATCTATTATTTTACAATATTCCTAATAAATTCTGAAGTGGTAAAATAAATTACCAGTAACCAAACTATGTTAGGAAAAGTTCTAGTTGATCATTAGTAAATTATTTTACCACCCAAAATCTAATAAACTGTTAACAAAAAAATTGTTTTTTCTAAATTTATAAAAATATACATATGGACGATTATGAATATCAAATTTCAGCCCAAACAAAGCAAAACCTCCTTATGCCCTATAAAGGGTTAAAAGCCTTTTTAATATTGATATAAACTGCATCAATTTGAACGTCATTACTTATTGACTATACTAAATCAGAGAAATAAACCATAAAAGTGGCCAGTATGAATTTCGATTTACGAAATTCATTCCGATTGTTTTTTTACCAAAACATAATTAAACAAATTAGACATTTTAGGTTTGCCACGTCTTTCAAATAGTGTAAGTAGGACGCTCAAGGAAGAAATTGAACGATAACTATTAACAAGAGAGAGACTGCTCTGGATAAATGAAACTGGGTTAGTGTACAACACCAGTTTTTATGTACAATATCTGGAATTTAATCAGATCCTACGTTAGTTTTGAGAACTAGCTTATTGAGGGAATCAAATATTTCAGAAACAGAAAGTGTACAAATAGAAAAATCTAATATATTTTTGTCGAGAAACGAATCATTTCAACTATAGACGACATCACATAGTACAGATCTTAAAACTTGTCTTCATAAAAAAAACAACATAACACAAATAAATTAACTAAAATCAAATCAGATTGCAATCATTTTTCACAATATCGAAAAAAATGTAAGAATTTATCTAAATCTTGATACTTTAAGAATTTAAATAAAACTAAAAATTAACCAATCGATAATCCCAGATACTTCTGGTTATATATCAAAAAAAAAAAAAACAAGTGTCAAAACCTATGTTAAAATAAGTTACTTATAATAACCTCCACTCTAATAATAGGTGCGATATTCCTAACATGTTTAGTTCATATTTTGCTTCTGTATACATAAAACCTACACAATCAACATTATTGAATCTTGATAATAATTGTAGTATTAGTAATTACCATTTTAATGTATCTAACGTTTGATTTCTCGTTAAGTGAAATATTTCAGGCTCTTACACGAGTGGGTAATAATCCTTCTCCTGGTCACGACCTAATACCTGCCATCTTTTTACAACAACGCAGAAATGCCTTATCAGTTTCTTTGTTAATTATTTTCCAAATGTAAATTTCGTCAGGTATCTTCCCTGACAAGTGGAAATTACACTATGTTACACCTACTTCCAAATCCGACGATAAAGAATCTGTCACTAACAATCGACTAATATCAAAAACAAGTGTAATTCCTGAGCCATTCGAGAAAATTATGAATAATAAATTATCGATCACTTTCAAGCAAATCCTATCATCTAATTAATATGGCTTTCGGTCTTAGAACTTCTCTGTTTTTCGATTGTACGTAAATATTTGTTTTCACACTTACCTCAACATTACAGCTATTAGAATTCGAACCAGGACATTTTTCATCATCAACACTTTGAGCACTTGTATTCGGACCAGGAAATTTATCGTTAACACTATGAGCACTTGTATTTACGGGAAAGACTTAATTTAGGTTTCTTAATATTAAAAAAACGGTCCATTATACGTGCGCGACACATGGTATATGAGTGACGTTCGAACAGGGTGTATAAAATGAATTTCGGTTTAGATCAAAATTTTAGTGCAATACATTTGCTTCACGGCGGACAACTAACGACCGGGTAAGTAAATAAAATAATTTAACAAGAAATTGTGAACAAAAATAAATTTTGATTACGCCATTGGTCAAGAATTCAAGATAACAATAATCAGGTAATCGCCTATAAGCGAACCATTAAACGTATTTTTAAACTATTATCGGAATTTTACGTACACGTTTATTAATAATCACGATATTTCGCGGCACACCGGTTGAGAAACGCCGTTCTGAACAATATTATTATAAATTACACTTCGTTTTTTAATTTAACGGTTTATTTCATTAACCGATGAACAATAATATTGTGTCACTATTGCTTTTATTTTCAAATGTCGATTCATTTTTTTTTTATTATTATTTATACAAATATAGCGAATTACGATTTTCAATCCGCGTGAATGGTTTTAGATTCTGGACGCGGGGATAAACGCTATTGATAATATAGTTTTGCAAATGTTATGTGGTTTTTTTTTTTTTTCGGATATTGAGCGCAACGAGAAACGCAATGTACTTTTTCTCGTGTCTGTTGACAATAATTTTCGACCGTTTAACTGTTGACCAATAACCACATCTAATATTATCTGTGCCGATAAGTGATAACTGGTAGAACCATCGATTGCTGGGACAATAAACCGATAGAATAAAACATTGACTCGTTTACTTGTTGATGAAAAACCATCGATAACACGAACGTATCGGTTCGTTATTAGATATTAACAGACACACACCGTTGTGACAGGTACACACGTGATTTTCGATTTCCCTACACGGTTGCGCTCTTAGAATATAGAAACCATTACAATTTCCATTCCAGCGTTTCATTTTCGTCTGTCAATTTGTTGTGTTGTGTTTCTGTTGCTAACTGATTTTGTACAAATAAACCGTTTATTAAATGGATACCACCCGTAAGTATCAATGGTTCTATTGTATTATACCTAGGTATGTGTGAATCGGGTTTTATAGATGCGTTAAACCGAACTGACTCGTGGTGTTCAAAATTTAATGATTTCATTATTTTGGTTTCGAGATAAATGCTACCAGTTGAATAACTGATTAAATAACTCTAGTTCCTTTATAATAATTTAATACAAACTCTGCTACAATCACTTTTTTCATTATTTTCACTATTTATACAAATTTACCATAATGAATTGTAGGTATATATATATATATATTTTTTTTTTTTATTGAAAATCAAACATTTTTCATAATATAGTTTTTAAAATAGATACTTACTTATATAAAGTTGTAATATTTTTGATGCATCAACTTTAAGCTTAAAGCTATGTCGGAAGAGATTAATTACTAACTGTTACTTAATGCCTGATATTAAATTATACCGAGGTAATTTTATTTAAAATTTTAGCACTTTCAAGAAATTCCAGTGATGTCTCTAATAATAGTCATGTTCTTCAAAGAATGTTGTATGATAGTTTAGATGACATAACGATAGAATCACCGGTTAAATCTCCTGTACATATGTTTAAACGAAGTATATCATACATAGACTCAACACAATCTGTGTTTCCACTTTCAATGACTACTTGGTATCAACAAAGTTGTCCGGCTCCTGAATATAGTGAACAAGGTATAATCCATTCTTAACAAAACCCTAACTGTAAAAAAATGTATTCATTTTTAACCACTGCATGTAAATAAACAATGCTATGCTTACTAGATTTTGACCTGGCACACTACCATGTGCTCAAATAATTTCATCATACCTTTTTTGTTCTAAATAAATTATATTTTTAAGGAGAAGATTGTGAAAGTGATGGTTCTATTAAGAGTTCTCAATTGGTAAATATTAAATTAAAACTGGAAGAAAAAAGGCGACAAATTGAAAATAATAAACATGAAATAAAATCTCTAATGAATAACCAAAGAACACAAATAGGGAAAGCTGCATTCCTCCATATAACATCTGGACGTAGTAGGTATAAGGTTCCATCACCTATACAAACGCATATGTCTATCAATCAAAATTCCTTCAGTAACGATGATTATACTACTACCACTAGTCGAGATGTAATTGCAAATACATCTGATAAAGGTTTTTTTGTCTCATTTGAAGACAAAGAAACTCCTAAAAGACCCAAACCGCCATTAAGAACAAAAAAAATTACATCAAAGGCAAGTAATAACTTTGGATATTTTTCTAAAGATAACATTATGATGAAAATATAAAGTTATGTACAATTAATTTAATTAGCAGGATAAAAATTTGACGCAAGTATTAAATAAATCTGTGTCTCTAAATAATTTGGATTCATCATCTAGAAATTTTAATGATTTTACAAATAATGAAAAGTCAGAAGAATTTCCTACTTCTGTTAAATTTACTTCAGAATTAGTTGATTCACAAGAAACAATTACAAATACATCTGATAAAGGTTATTTTGTTTCATTTGATGATAACGAAACTCCTAAGCGACCAAAACCACCATTGAGAATGAAAAAGATTGTATCAAAGGCAAGTAGTTATTTTGAATATTTCTCAAAAAATAATATGATGTATTTGGAAATTATTTTAATTAACAGGATAAAAATTTGACACAAGTATCAAATAATTCTGTGTCATTAAATAATTTGGATAAATGTAAACATTTCAATGTTTCTATCAATAATGGAGAGTCTATAGAATTTTCTATTCCTGTTAAATCTACAGTATTTAAAGATGAAATCAAACAACGTAAAAAAGATGAAGAAAAGAAACGTAGGGCAGTAATTTTAGAACAATATAGATTAAAGAAGGCTATTGAAGAATCTGATAGAGAAGTACATATTTGAAGTATTATATGTTAGCGCTTTAGTTTATTTGTGTGTGTTTTTAGGGGAAAACTGTCAATAAACATCTTTTAAATTCATTAAAAACTAATCGCAATCAAACTTTGAGTAGTCAATCAAGACTTCAGAGTAAACAAAAGAAGACTATTGAAGAAGCTAAAAGAGAAGTACATGACAGAAAAATAATTTATAAACACAAGTATATTTATTTATTTATTTTTTTTAGGGAAAAATTATAGATAAAGGTTTTTTTAGTTCACTAAAAACCAATCTCAAACAAACATTAGGTGGTCCACCAAAACTTCAAAGTAAACAAAGAACAATTCATTATAATAAAACTTTATTTGTCTCACTTGAAGTTGTTTGATTTCTCATTTAATATTTTTTGTTTGTATTCTATACAACTGAATTGTATTATTATTATATTTATATAGCATTGGACTCACAAATTAGACATAATTTTTGTTGTGGATCACAGGAAAACATAATCAAAACATGGCGAACATCAACTTCTTCTCTTTGTTCAAGTAAGTGTTTTAATTGTTAAATCATTGCAATTTAAGATAAAAATATTTGATTAATAATTATTTTGATTGTGTTTAAAGTTAACAAATTTTTATTTTTTTTTTTTTATATAATGTCAAGTTGATATATCACAGAACAATAGTTTTAATAATTTAGGTATTGAAGATATTTGGCCTTGTCATCATTTTCAAAATAGTACATAATTTATAAGAAAATTGCTCGTTTTATATCTCTACCTATATTTTGTGTTAAACTTTGGTTGAAATTATTAAAATGTCTGACTTTTTTTAAATTTTGTAATTTTTTCTGAATTTATTATCAAAATTGTAAGAGAAAAATTTGTTTTTTATATATATTAACAATTTTCTACAGTTATATCAACTAATGAAGTTATTGGCACTCACTAAAACTGTTATAGTGAACTGTGTTGATTACATATTTTATAGACACATTATATCCCATACCAATTTTATTATAAAATAAAGAAAAAAGAACACCAATCTATTATACAATGGTTTATGACTTTATGAAATGAGCAATATAAAAATCAAATCCTACCATACATAATACCCTAATACCCCATAATATCCTTAAATTTTTGCTATTGTGGCACATTATTATTATTTAATATATGTCATGATACACTATGAATAAATATTGTCAACTTTCTGAATATAAGTGATTTAGAACTGGATTTATTTCCCATCTTTGCCTATTTACAAATATGATTAGGTGCACAGACCTTTTGCAATTACATCGGATACAATATCTCATCTAGGATTAGTTGAACAAGAGCAACTTTTAGAACTTTAATCTGATTGTTTATTGAAATTAAATTTTAATGAACTTTAAATCTTCCAGTTTTAGAATTCAATTAAAATTTAATATCCGATAATTACATAAATAACAATAAATATGCTATTACCATTTTCTACAACATACCTCTGTGAACTTGGGTTGTCCGACCCTAACCAATATTAAAAATAAGACATGTGAAAGATTTTTATCAGTTGAATAAGAAATGAGAGTGTGTTTAACGTCGATCACTCCCCAAATTGAATTATTGTGTAAACAACACCAAGCACATGTTTCAGACTAAAATTTGGAGATTTGATTTTTTATCATTATTGTTTTATCTGTACTCAAACTAGTTTTATTCCATTATATTTTATGTTTAATAATTAATATTTCCAAAAATTTTATGATTATTTTACAATGGTGTTTTAATAGAAATTAGTTCAAATTGTCGCGGCGTATTTTTGAAATTTCAAGACACACCCTTTTGGAAACATTGTAATACACTTAAAACTATATATTACAAATAATTAGAATATCTGAACTGATATACTGAAAATTTAGGTCTTTTGGCTGGGTTTAAGTTAAAAATAGTGATTATAAAGGACTCAACTATTATTAGTCTATGGGATAGGCTTAGAAAATGACTTCATTTTGTAGAAATTTATTTTAAAAACACACTTAATATTAGCTACAGACACTGGTATTATTGTTATTTATCACTACTGTATATTGTCTATTTGTCTATAAAATTAATTTTGCTAGATCATCAAATATTGTATTTTTCACAAATTTCTTTTTTTTAGGAAGTTCGAGTTGTGATCAAGATAGTTCACTATACCGGTGCAGTGACACAGACTCAGGTTTAGGACGGACAACCCCTCCCAAAAGAATCACCTTACCATCTGGTTCCAGTTCATTATCGATATGTTGCAAATTAGAAGACACAAGAAGCCAAAGTAGTGGTAGTGACTATGGTGGTACTAAGTGAGTGTCAGACAGTGGTCACTATATGATTTTGGTGTACATTATCTTAAAAGTATACTATAAAAATATATTGTATCAAGAATAGATGAGATATATTTATTGTTCAGAGTAATGTTTTTATCATGAACCAGCAATTATCTCTGAGGATTTATGTGAATTTTATTTCTGTTTTTTCTAATCATTTCGGAATCATTTAAGCTTTTTTTAAAACCATTTTAAATTTATTACAACTATTACATATACTTTAAATAAGTACATAATTTTGTTTTTAAAATAGAAACCCTCCCCTCCTCTTTGACTAGATTTGAAAACATTTTTCTAGAAATGTTTTTAAGTGGTTTTTGTGAATTATAAAAGAATATAAATCCGGTCTCTAGTTATACTCATACACAGTAAATCTCATATTAGTGTTATACATATTAAAAGGGGGGGGGGTTTCTCGTGTGAAAATTTTAAATATGTCCTTTATTAAGGTACATGGAATTATGGTAAAAAATTAAAAATGATTTTAAAATAAAGCTTAAATAATTCTATAATGATTAGAAAAAACAGAAATAAAATTCATTTAAATTCCTCATAGATAATTACTGATTCATAATCAAAAAATCACTTTGTATAATATATAATTAGAATATGTTTTTTAATGATTTATTTAGAATCTTAGTTTCTTTAGGATAAAAACCGAAACCCTATTCTATTTTCTAAAAATTGTCGTTTTATAATTTTATTATATTTTTCACTATAGGCTATATAAACAACTAGTAACCAAATCTAACCGTAGTATTATATTAAATGCAGTCGAATACTGTGTATTTCCGGGTATGGTGAACCGAGAATCCAAGATTCGAGTTATTAATGAAATAAACAGATCCGAAGCTAATCATTTCCTGATGCTGTTTCGAGACACAAGATTTCAGTTTCGAGCACTGTACTTGTACTTTACAGAGACTGAAAAGGTGACTAAACTGTATGGTATCGGTCCACGAGTCGTTACCGATTCCATGTTTGATAAGTTTTTCAAGTGAGTTTTGTATAATATTTGATGTTAGATTTGTTTTTTTTTTTTTTTTTTTTTTTTTAATTATTTGTAGTTTATCTGCAACATGCAAAATAACAACCATTTATATAATCTCCTACCAAATTATGGTGGACTGGATTGTGCTTCTGGTATACTTGCTTGTATTTAATAAACATACAAGTGTACATGTAATTTTGATTTACATAATAAACATTTTTTTTCTTAAATCTATTAGGAAAATCTATTAGGTTTTTGTGGAAATTTGGATAAAATAATATATATTTTGTCATAAGTTAACAATTAATATTGTTTATAACCATGGCAAAATAAATAGGTACACATGATCATAGTGTGAGTCTTTAAGAATCACTTCCTAATTTTTTTTCCTTCGAAAGTTCTTTTTACCAATGTCTGTTTTACCAAAAATTCTTTGTCCCAATATTTTGCTCTACAAAAGTTTTTTTTATCAAAGGCTTATTTTTTTTCCAAAATTGCTGAAGAAGTTCCCAAAGTTCAGACATTCAAAAAATATTTCATAAATAATTACAAATTGTTCTCGACAATCAAAACATAATATATTATTGTATCAATAAATTGTATGTGTATTATAATTTTAAACTAAGACCAATGGCCCTAAGGTATTTAATTAAATCATGTTTGGAAACCATATTTAATATTCATTTTTCTAATTTTAATTCAATATGGGCATCTCCTCCACTCCTAGCCTATGTAGTAGTTCCAAACTATTATCAACAATGCTAATGCTAGCCAATAAAAAGTAGAGAACTCTTTGAGTGGGATGTGCATATAAAAAAACTGTAATTTTGGAACTTGTTCTGTGCTCTGATCACATCTATCTACTTTGGCTTGGATATAACTAACCATAAATGCTAGGAATTTAAATAATATAAATGTCATTACTTATAATAAACAATCATATTGTAAAAATCTCCTAACATATCGACGATTGTTAGAAAATGATCATTTTGCCATAGATACCTATTGCTTAAATTGATTGCGAACTGAAATACAATTCTATTGATAACTTCTATGTTTTGTGATATGAATATAGGTACAATTCAGGCAGTAAATGTTTCTCGGAAATACACACCAAACACCTGGCTGTGACCATTGACGCGTTTACTATACCCAATAGCTTATGGCAGGGTAAAAAAGTAAATTATTCTAATAAAAAAATGATGACACCAGTCATTTGATGAACTAACAATGGAAGGATAACAACAGTTTTTGCCTGAGTATTTTTAAAAATAAAATAAACATATGTCGAGCTTTGGTAATTTTTCTCTTTAACAAGTTAACTGTTTTTTTTTTTTTTTTTTTGAAGTTATTTTTAAACAGTTAAAATGTAATTTTAGCGGATAATAACTAAAATAATATTTATTTATTTATCCCAGTTGTGATACCCAGTATTGTTTTATTAAATATTGTAAACATTTTTTGCCCTATTTGTATGAATTGTCTTTATAAAGGATTTTTTTTTTTTTATCATTCTGTACATACCTTGTGATTTATTTAAATGTATTATTATTAATATTAACAAACATTGCCTATTTATTATATTTCCCATAAATTATATAATGTATGTGTGTGTAAATATTTGTTGTATGTGGTGCAATAGTATATTTGTGTTTAAATTCAAAGCATCTAAAAAATTATAATAAGTTTTTTTTTTTTTTAATTTGTATTTTTATTGATATTTAACTAAAGTTACTCATCATGTTTGTCATTATTATTGTTGGTATTTGATAAGCAATTATTTTTGATTTTTTTTTTTTTTTCAGACAAACCATTTAAGAACTGAGATTAATTTCTACAATGTTATGTTTATTCACATTTACATTTTATCTATAGAAAATATGTTTTTACGCATATTAAAATATCGTGGATTTAAGACAATCTTATAAATGACAAAGTAAACATCAATATTATCACCCGCAATTTCAATATTCAATTGGTTTTTACGGCTTGAACGTTTTCCACTAATAATAAATAATAATTTTCGTTTTGAATAAGGTAAAACATTAAAATTGCTAATTTTTCTTTTACGCGGTCAATGTGTGTTTTTGTGAGAAAAATGCCGGGCCGTTGGGCGATTTATCAAAAAAAAAACGACCGTAGCGCAAATTATCGCGGGTAACGCCCGCGATTACCGGCAAATAGAGCCGTTTTTCGAAAAGTCGGCCGCCCCGCACAAAGCACTTGTAACGGTTGTCCCGTTGTCCCCGTACCGCAAAATGTGTCGCGTTACTTGCGCCGGACGTCGTCGAACGACGCGGGCGCGCTCGGTAACTAATACGGCCGCGGACAGCGTTCGAACCGTCGGACGTAAAACGATTTTCCACGGCTAGGTTCACACGGGCGCGCGTATGACCGTTCAGATGGCTGCGTGTCGCGCGCGTTGCGCGGCAATGTTCTAGTCGAAAACTATTTACTTAGTTCAGACTGTGTTCGGACTGTCGCCGAGAACGGACGTGATGAATGCTGTGTGTTTGTGGGCCGTCCACCGGATGATGAGAAGACGCACACTAGTAAGGGAAAGAAAATATTGGGTTCGTGCTATTTTAAACGCGAGGCGTTCTCGTAGTCCTTGTGTCGCGTTGTATCCTAGAACTCGACCGTCCGCATCGAAACGCGCGTGTCCGTCAATAATACATGGAATTTCAATCCGCGGTGTCACGCGCGAAAATGAGAAACTTGCGTTGTTGTCGCGATCGACGGGCGTATACGCGCGCCATGTCAACGGTGTATGAGAAACTCGTGTATCTAAACACGCGCGACCGACTAACGCGCGTCCATGCGAATCTTGCCTAGGAATCATCCAAATCCGCAATGGCAAATGCGCGAAAATCGACCGAGCCGCGCGTGTCGGCATCGGCAAACGTCGGGGGTCAGACTAGTTTACGCCGTCCCGCGCCCGACCTTTGCCGCGGACCGGTAGGGCGAAAATATGTAAAGCCTGTTTAATTGTTTTACCGGAAAATTACATTTATATCACTGTAAACTGAACTCCGCTCAGAATCGGTTTTTCGTAAGCAAATGGTTTGTCGCCGCTTACAGGTATACATTAAACTATCTATAACGGTGGCTGCACCCGTCACCATTATCCTAGAGCGTCTTTGCTTTTTTTTTTATTCCCTCATACTATTTTTTCAAGCGCAATTTTTTCGCGGCTACTTTCTGGAAGTTGAAGGCTTTACCAATCGCGGGAATGGGTCTCGCTGAGTAACGTCCGGCCCGTCTACCATTTGAATACTGTACAGAGGCCATGGATCGCTGATTAAAAATGTTTGCTGGGCAACGAACCCAGGCCACACAGTGTTTACAGTGATCACGTGTTGATAGGAGGGGATAGTCGGATGCATTGTGTTTTGTCGACTTAATTGAAATATTTGACGAAATCGTATTCAGACACGGACGAGAATTAATCGTCGATAACATACGACAGTACTTGTGTAAAGCGTTAAACTTTCGAAACGCAATGTTTGACGAACAATCGCTCGGTTTCCAAATTCGTTCGTCCCGTCTCCTTTTCAAAACGCGATACAACGCTGTTACTCATTATTTTTCAGTGACTATCGGTGCAACGTGTTTTTTTAAAAAGTGCCGAGGATTCGCCGACCAACGGGCTGCACGCAATTTTTGCATCGCGTTCAATTATGATTGTCATGCCTGACCGAATTCCCAAAAGAAAACCGCTTCTTCCGAACAAATGAATTAAAAAAAAAACGAATATCATTATATCCAATATCGAAATCCAATTATTATTGCGATGCGAACGCATAATTTTAGATTCAACGATAATGCAAACAGCGTCGGCAACCTGCGCGGTCTGCCGTTTTATTCGTTTTACTGTGCCGGCTCGGTCGGGCGGCCCGGACTGCACCGCGCGCGCGGTTACCCGGTGGGCGGCGATTATCCGTTTCTCCGGGGCTTACGCGCGTACGGCGCACCATTACAACAGTGCCGTTGCAGTTGTCCCGGTGGCCGTTCGCAAACCGAACGCGGAATTGACGGCAGGGACGTTTCAACCGGTCACCAAAGTGAGCGTCTGATGTGCGCGCTGTGCCCGTTCTCGTGCGCACGACTAAATCCCAATACGCGTCCGAAACGACCGGTGCTGCATTGTCATTACGACGTCGCGCGGTCGCCATGATATTGGCCGCGTTGCCGTAATCAGTCGGCTAAACGTCTGTCCGCATTACGGTAAACGCGGACGAATAGCGTCGTCCCGAAGAGACGAAAATTCTGTCGGAACACGGACGGGCGAAAATCGGATTTGTCGCGAAACCGCGCCGTCCGTGTCGATTGCTGAAACCGCTGAAACCGTGGCCGGGGCGGTTTTCACGCCCCGCGTCGGCCGAAGTCCGGAATCGGCCGGGCGCGGCGCGGAAACGAACACGGCCGTCCGGTGCGCCCGTAACGCGCGCCGGCCGGTCGCGCGATTTTCCCGTCGGATTAATAACCCGCGGGCGCGGTACGATTCCGGCCCGGGGACGTGTGCGTGTGTGTGTGGTGAGGGGAGGGGGGCGTCGATATCGCAATAGCGCGTCGCGCGCGAGATTAATGACGTCGCGCGACTGTCGCGGATTTGTCAACGCCATCGCAACGTGGCGCCGCAGCCGCCGCATTAAAACCGTATTATTCGTATACGGCGGGCGAGAGCGTTTCGGCCCCGCGACGTTTCCGCCGCGCAACATTAACAAACAACACGCGATATGGGCGATTAAGGTCTTTCTCCTTCTCCTCTCTTCCCTCCCCTCCCCCCACCGGCCACGCCGCGCGTACGTTATACGGGGGGGGGGGAAATAAAAAACGTGCGTAACGTTATTGTTATTATTGTCATTATTACGGCAACAACAGCAGCGGCGTCGCGCGCTAGAGGGGGGGGGGGGTTACGATACGATATACGTTTTTTATTTATTTATTTTATTTTATTTTTTTTTTTTTTCAATAACCATCCGGAAATACTAAAAATCAAAGGGTAATCTGTCGGGTTTGCAGGTTACGCGATGTGATATATTATTTCGTTATTGCGAACTCGCAATGTGCCCACCGTCCTCAGCGCGTGTGGGGGCGTTTGGGGGTGGAAGCGGAAGTGGAATCCGCGCGCCGGAACCACGCCGATGTTGTTTTTCATTAAACTCCGTGCTAATAATATAATAGCACACATTGCTCGCTAATAATAATAATAATAATAATAATAATATCCGAGTCGTTTAAATTAATGCCGGGGGGGGGGGCGGGTAACATTGAGTATGAGTTAACCCTCCCGTTACGCCGATTTATCGGAACGATTTCGCTATTGGTATTTTTTCATTTTGGTTTTTTTTGTTTTTTTTTGTTTTTTCCCCCATATTTTGTTAGTAAACGCCGTCCGCGGTGTTTGTTACGGGCCATATTTTTAAATACTCCGCGTGCACAACAACACAATTCAATATTTTACCGATTCGCCTATTGCACGCGAACGATAATGTTTCGACCGTGTCCGCGGCGGGACGGCTAACCTGGCCCGCCAACAAAACGATTCATTTTTGCCGTGCGTTTCAACGCGTTGCATATTATATTTCCAGTTGTCGGGCCAAACATAAATTTACGTTCATTTTCGCAAACCAACAATGACGCTGTCCCCATCTGTTATCGCTGTTGACAGTTGATTGGTGGAAAAAAAAACTTGGGCATTACGTGCCCGCGTAAAATATCGATAGGGTAAATTCTGCTCGGAGTTTCGCGTAGACAAAAGCGTTTCAGTTGCCGAAAAACAGTCCGGGGTAGTCGATTATATTCTGTATAATACTATACATTTATTCAGTTCTCGAACGTTAGCAACGACCGACCCTCGCGTGTCGAAGCGTGTCGTCTGAAGTTTTTATACACTGCGGTGATGCGTTGTTACTGTTTAGAACGTTCCGCCAACTTCACACGGACATCGTCCACTGTTAAAATCCATGTTAAGCCCAGACCGTTTGTTCGCAAATCGGTAGGTCTGCCGATCAATCTGTTCGTACGGAATCCAAATTCGGTGATGCAACTGTATTGTACAACTAAGGCACGGTTTTTCAATCGCATTTAACTCGAGATTAATCAAACTCAACTGGCGGTTAACGTTATCTACCTGTTAAACTGTTTACGAAAATCCCGTTAAATTATCTCTTCGGATTAACATGTTAACCGTCGGTGGTTAAGGTTATTATTATTTACAATAATTTACCTGTTTATTACATCCAAAAAAAAACTACCTATTTATACCAAGATTCTATCTATGACCGCGATTTTAACATAGCAGCTAGTTTGTTTTTAAAATTTAAAATGAATTTTCGAAA